CCCCCGAGGGCATCACAATGCTGATGCGGCCTTGGCACTTTGTGATAAATAAGTGGGTTTTGCGTTGCGGTTTGGGCACTCAGTCTCCAAAAGGTTCGCCATCACTGGCCTAATCAATTAACTATCCAGGAGTAACCCACAATCCCACCAACACCAAGAGGGCAAACTACTATGTACAACAGGGAGCGAGAACCACTGGCTAACCTATTCAAGTTCAAATGTCCTACCAAGTTGATGTCCTACCAGGGCCACCGGTGAACTCAGGAGAACTTATGAAAGTCTCAAATTGGTCCCTGGAGAGCACTTAATAATAATAATAATAATAATAATAATAATAATAATAATAATAATAATAATAATAATAGTAAAGTTGGAAGGGACCTTGGAGGTCATCTAGTCCAACCCCCTGCTCGGGCAGGAAACCCTACACCATTTCGGACAAATGGCTGTCCAGTCTCTTCTTAAAAACTTCCAGTGTTGGAGCATTTACTGCTTTTGGAGGCAAGCTGTTCCACTGATTAATTGTTCTCACTGTCAGGAAGTTTCTCCTTAGTTCTAGGTTGCTTCTCTCCTTGATTAGTTTCCACCCGTTGCTTCTTGTCCTGCCTTCAGGTGCTTTGGAAAATAGCTTAATTCCCTCTTCTTTATGGCAGCCGCCCCTGAGATATTGGAACACTGCTATCATGTCCCCCCTTGTCCTTCTCTTCGTTAAACTAGACATACCCAATTCTCGCAACCGTTCCTTATATGTTTTAGCCTCCAGTCCCCTAATCATCTTTGTTGCTCTTCTCTGTACTCTTTCTAGAGTCTCAAGAGGGACCTCATGGAAACAACTCCCTCATCTTAGGACACCCAACGCCACATCACCATTTGTAGACCACAACAAAAAGGCCTTAACCAGAGGAATGTGGTGGACTACAGATTTTGCTTTTACTCCCAATGTAGAGGAGGAACCTTCTCATCCACTCCAGAAGAAGACGGAACGGACTCCTAACTCACTTCGCCTGGGTCAGCCTTTGTTCAGGCCGCAAAAAGACACACAACAGGAACTCTTTGAAACTCATAATTGGAACCAGGAGGAGTCTGGTCAGCCAGGCAGAGGCAGATTTCGAGATAGCAGAGATAGAAACGTACTGAGGAGGTATTGCATGGTCAGGAACGTACCGTCTCTTCATCAAAGAAATTGGAGCAGCTACACTAGACCGGAAAGTGAGTGACATCATCCCAAGCTCCACATCTGGATGAGCTTTGGGGCCGGATCCATCCCTCCCAGATTAGACCACTAGGGGTTCTCCTCAAAGACCAGAGGTGGAACTCAAGGCAGTTCAACAACCCCTATTAGATCCTGGAGCCCATTTCACACCTCACTTTCCCAGCCTGCTCTCCTCCAAGTGGGGCTTCAGCCACACCCGTAGGGAATTATGGGCATTGTAATCCCAACCCACCTTGAGGACACCTCAAGGGGGGGGTCACGATAAATGATTTGACGGTTGAGCAATGGAGACCTAGCGTCAGATGGCGGCAGGGCTACTGCTAGCCACTCATTTTGTGGCGGTTTTAATGACTCCAAGGATAAGGGTATATATTTTATTGTCTTGAATTTCCCACAGGAACTTATACTTCTTAACCGACTTCGAACTACAGGTTGTCCTCAACTTACGAGCACAACTGAGCCCCAATTTTTCTGCTGCTAAGTGAGACATTTGCTAGGGAGAGAGAAAGAGAGAGAGAGAAGAGAGGGAGAGAGAGAGGGAAAGAGAGAGAGGGAGAGAGAGAGGAGGAGAGGGAGAGAGGGAAAGAGAGGAGAGCAGGAGAAAGGGAGAAAGAGGGAAAGAAAGAGAAAGAGAGAGAGAGGAGAGAGAAGAGAGAGAGAGGAGAGAGAGAGGGAGAGAGAGAAAGAAAGAGAGAGAGAAGAGAAATAGAGGGAGAGTGAGGAAGAGAAATAGAGGCAGAGAGAGGGAGAGGGAGAAAGAGAAAAGAAAGAGAAAGGGAGAGAGAGGGAGAGAAAGAGAGGAGAGAGAAGAGAGAGGGAGAGAGAGAAGAGAGAGAGAAGAGAAATAGAGGCAGAGAGAGGGAGAGAGAGGGAGAGGGAGAGAGAGAAAAGAAAGAGAGAAAGGGAGAGAGAGGGAGAGAAAGAGAGAGACAAGATAGAAGGCTGCAAAAGGGGATCATGTGACCCAGGACACTGCGACCATCCTAAGTGCATGCTGGCTGCCAAGATCATGGGATGCTGCGACGGTCGTAAGTGCAAGGACCCCTCACAACTCACTCGTTTTAGTGCTGCTGTAACTTTGAACGGTCGCTAAATGAACGACTGTAAGTCGAGGACTTTATGTACAGGTAATCCTCGACTTTGAAGACCGTTTGAAGGGACTTACGACTGTTTTTCACACCTACGGCCCTTGCAGCGTTCTCCGTGGTCACCTGGTCAAAATTCAAACGCTTGGCAACTGACTTGTACTTATGACGGTTGCCGCGTCCCGGGGGGGGGGAGGTGTCACGGGATCCCCTTTTGCCACCTTCCGACCAGCCAAGTCTAAGGGGGAAGCCGGATTCCCTGAGCGACCCTGCGACTGACTTACCAAATGCAGCGATTCGCTGAACGACCGTGGCGAGAAAGGTCGCAAAACGGGGCAAGACTCGCCAGACAAACATATCGCGTAGCCGCAGGAATTTGGGGCTCGGTTACGGCCGTAAGCCGAGGACAACCCGTCGATCTCCCTGAGCTGAAAAAAAAAAAAAAAAAGGCCCTGCGGACTGAGGATGCTGGGTGTTGTAGTCCTAGCAGACCCGAAGGTGAACCCGTCGTGCCGGGAGGGAGGGGGAGGGAGGGCTGGAAGGACGATTGCTCTCTCTGCCCTAAAGATGGCTTCCCACGAGGACCCCCCCCCCCGGCCACCCCCGTCACCCATCCTTCTTCCTCATCTGTTTTCCGTATTCAGCTGTATGCGGCTGTGTTTGTTACCCAGTTGAAATAAATAAATAAGTAAATCTGTTTTCTGTTTTGTGGCGTAATTTTTCCAGTCCTGGGGCAAAAGCTCCGCTGGGGGGGGGGGCGGGGGCGGGGGGGGGGCTTGTTGAGGCCTGCAAGATAGGAAACCGGAGACAAATGTATTTGTTTTATTCCGCAGAAAGTGGAGACATTCCTGGGGGGAGCTTCAAAGGCTTTGTTGGGAGACCCCCAAAGCCATGGAACGGTTAGGAGGGTCTGTTTCCCTCTCCCCCCCCCCCCGAGGAATTGTGTAATTGTGTAAGTCTGCTTCTGTCCAAGGAGGCCGTGTTGCTGAACTGTTCTGACCAAGGACTTCTCTCTCTCTTCCTCTCTCTCCCTCCCTCCCTCTCTCTCTCTGTCTTCTTTCTCTCTCTCTCTCTCTTTCTCTCCCTTTCTCTCTCCCCCTCTCTTTCTCTTCTCTCTCTCTCCCTCTCTCCCTCTCTATTTCTCATCTCTCTTCTCTCTCTCTCTCTTTCTCTCTCCCTCTCCCTCTCTCTCTATCTTCTCTCTCTCCCTCTCTCTCTTCTCTCTCTCTCCCTCTCCCTCTCTATTTCTCATCTCTTCTCTCTCTCTCTCTTTCTCTCTCCCACTATCTTTCTTTCTCTATCTTCTCTCTCTCTTTCTCTCTCTCTTTCTCTCCCTCTCTCCCCCTCTCTTTCTCTTCTCTCTCTCTCTATATATATATTTCTCTTCTCTCTCTCTCTTCTCTCTCCCTCTCTCTCTTCTCTCTCTCCCTCTCTCTCTCCTCTCTCTCTATATATTTCTCTTCTCTCTCTCTCTTCTCTCTCCCTCTCTCCCTCTCTCTATCTTCTCTCTCTCTTTCTCTCTCTCTTTCTCTCTCTCTTTCTCTCCCTCTCTCTCTCCTCTCTCTATATATTTCTCTTCTCTCTCTCTAACCCCTCTCTCTTTCTCTTCTCTCTCCCTCTCTCTCTCTTCTCTCTCCCTCTCTCTCTCTTCTCTCTCCCTCTCTCTCTCTTCTCTCTCCTCTCGTATATATTTCCTTCTCTCTCTCCTTCTCTCTCCCTCTCTCCCTCTCTCATCTCTCTCTCTCTTTCTCTCTCTCTTCTCTACTCTCTCTTTACTCTCTCTCTATATATTTTCTCTTAACTCTCTCTCCTCTCTCTCCCTCTATCTTCTCTCTCTCTTCTCTCTCTCTTTCTCTCTCTTTCTCCTCTCTTTTCTCCCTCTCTTCTCCTCTCTCTATATATATTTCTCTTCTCTCTCTTCTCTTCTCTCTCCCTCTTCTCCCTCTCTCGATCTTCTATCTCTCTTCTCTCTGCTCTTTCTCTCTTCTTCTCTCCCCTCTCTCTCCTCCTCTCTCATCTATATATATTCTCTCTCTCTCTCTCTGCTCTCTCCCTCCTCCTCTCTCCTATCTTCTCGCTCTCTCTCTTTCTCTCTCTCTTTCTCTCTCTCTTTCTCTCCCTCTCTCTCTCCTCTCTCTCTATATATTTCTCTTCTCTCTCTCTCTTCTCTCTCCCTCTCTCCCTCTCTCTATCTTCTCTCTCTCTTTCTCTCTCTCTTTCTCTCTCTCTTTCTCTCCCTCTCTCTCTCCTCTCTCTCTATATATTTCTCTTCTCTCTCTCTCTTCTCTCTCCCTCTATCTTCTCTCTCTCTTTCTCTCTCTCTTTCTCTCTCTCTTTCTCTCTCTCTTTCTCTCCCTCTCTCTCTCCTCTCTCTATATATATTTCTCTTCTCTCTCTCTCTTCTCTCTCCCTCTCTCCCTCTCTCTATCTTCTCTCTCTCTTTCTCTCTCTCTTTCTCTCTCTCTTTCTCTCCCTCTCTCTCTCCTCTCTCTATATATTTCTCTTCTCTCTCTCTAACCCCTCTCTCTTTCTCTTCTCTCTCCCTCTCTCTCTCTTCTCTCTCCCTCTCTCTCTCTTCTCTCTCCCTCTCTCTCTCTTCTCTCTCTCCCTCTCTCTCTCTTCTCTCTCTCCCTCTCTATTTCTTCTCTCTCTCCTCTCTCTCTCTCCCTCTCTAATAAAGGAGGAAAGAGAACTCATTAGGATAAGAGCAATTAGACTTTTATTTGATTTGCTAGAGTTAAGTTACTGAGCAAGAGCAACTGGGGATAATTTTCTGCAGAAATCTCCCTGTATATCCATATCTCGTTTCTCTACAAGACTACAAGTCGAGAACATCTTTTGATCCCCAAAAATGCCATACACTTCTTGGAAGCAGAGAAAAAAATCAACAAACACCCACAGCTGAAGTTCAGTTTGCATCCCCAAGTCTGATTTAGGTTCTCTCCATCGATCACGTCCCACCAAAACTGACTGTCCTAGCTGTCCTCACCAGGCCACATTACGTAGGCTGCATATGACCCAAAGTCCTAAATTACTTTGAGTTTTGGAGGCGAAGATCTCCATGGCTTGGTCACCTTCTTCACTTGCTGTTCATGATCCTCAGGAATTCCTCATAATTGAACTGCCCATCTCCATCCAGGTCTACCACCTTCAACATCTCCTCGACTTCTTCGTTGGACAACTTCTCCCCGAGGTTGGTCATGATGTACCTCAGCTCCGCAGCGCAGATGTAACCGTTCCCATCCTTGTCAAATACCTGGAAAGCTTTCCGGATCTCCTCACAATCTCGGTTCTTGACTTCCTTTTCCATCAGGTTCAAGAACTCGGGGAAGTCAATGGTGCCGTTTTTGTCAGCTTCCAGCTTCTGGACGATCTCCCGCAGCTCAGCTTCGGTGGGGTTTTGCCCTAAGGACCTCATGACGGTTCCAAGTTCCCTAGTGGTGATGGTCCCATCTCCATTCCGGTCAAAGAGCATGAAGGCTTCCTTGAACTCTGCAATTTCTTGTTCCATCAGAGAAGTCATGGTGTCTTCTACTGTCCCACCAATTCGCCGATCACCTTCTGCGGTTAGTTGCTCTCCTCGACGGTGAAGAAATGTTTCTCTTCTCTTGCAAAGAGTTGGCCCATAGGTAGGGTTGTTCCTATTGGCTGGTTTCCAGAGATGTTCTGGCATCTTGCAACAAGACGACAACACCCCGGCCTTGATTCCATTGGAGCAAAGTCAACTGTGGAGCTCTTCTGCTGAAAGGTCCACACCCTTTTCGTTAGGAACCTGTTAATCTGGTCTGGGCCAGGCCTGAAAGAGGTTAACAATTTCTGGGTCTCATCCCACGTCTTTATGGGACTGGAGCTGCTGCTGGTTTTCAGTGACAAGCTTCCAACCGATGTTCTGGAGAACATCAGATTGGGGAGAACGATGGTAACTGATCATGAGGCACTCCAGTTGCCTCTCTGCAGCCCTGGCTTAGCCTGTTCATGCACAAGTCACAGTCACTCAAGAATGAATGTTTAGTTTTGTTTGCTGCTAGGCAAGATAGCAATAGGAATAGCACATAGATACCACTTCACAGGGCTTTACAGCCCTCTCTAAGCAGTTTACAGAGTCAGCCTGTTCCCCCCCAACAATCTGGGTCCTCATTTAACTGACCTTGGAAGGATGGAAGGTGGAGTAAGTTAAGTAAGGATCGAACTGCTGGCAGTGGGCAGAGTTTGCCTGCAATACTGCATTCTAACCACCACGCCACCACCTTCCTTCCTTCCTTCCTTCCTTCCTTCCTTCCTTCCTTCCTTCCTTCCTTCCTTCCTTCCTTCCTTCCTTCCTCTCTCCCTCCCTCCCCTTCTTTCCTTAGATGATGATAATAATAATAGTAATAATAATAATAATAATAATAATAATAATAATAATAATAATAAACTTTATCTACCAAGGCAAATAGGTGGGCGTGGAATGCTACAAGTACATCAGATGGTTGAAGAAGAAAAAATGGCTTTGGAAGAATATCTGAAGAACAAGGATGAAGATGCACTGAAATTAGTATATCAGGAAGGCTTACTAACTACTGGAGAGACCAAACTGGCCTACAAGAAAGACCAAATGAAGAACAGAATAGAGGCATGGGAAGACAAAGCACTACATGGCCAATACATTACAAAAATAGCTGGGAAAGCAGATAATAATAAAACCTGGCAATGGCTAAGAGCAGGAAAATTGAAGAAAGAGACCGAGGGACTAATTCTGGCTGCACAAGACCAAGCCTTAAGGACAAATGCATACAAAGTCAAAATTGAGAAGACAGCAAAGACAGTAAGTGCCGCCTAAGCAAAGAAGCTGAAGAAACAGTGGACCACTTGGTAAGCTGTTGCAAGAAGATTGCACAGACTGATTACAAGCAGCGGCATGACAAAGTATCAACAATGGTGCATTGGAAGATCTGCAAAAAATATCATTTGCCTGTAAGCAAAAACTGGTGGGATCATAAATAGAGAAAGTCATAGAAAATGATAAAATTAAACTGCTCTGGGACTTCAGAATTCAAATAGACAAGCACTTGCAACATAACACCCCAGACTTAACAATTGTCGATAAGAAAGACAAAAAAGTCTGGATAGTGGACGTGGCAGTGCCTGGAGACAGCAGAATAGACGAGAAAGAACTGGAGAAGATAACAAAATACAAAGACCTACAAATAGAAATAGAAAGACTGAGGCAAAGGCAAGCAAGGGTGGTACCAATAGTCATAGGTGCCTTGGGTGCAATCCCAAAACAACTGGAGCACCACTTGAACACCATCATTGGCATTGACAAATTTGCTATTAGTCAATTGCAAAAGGCGGCCTTACTAGGAACTGCTTCCATCCTGCGACGATATCTGTAATACCATCAAACATCCACATCTGCTATCCCAGGTCCTGGGTAAGGACTCGATAGGTAGACAAAATGCCAAATCCAGTCTGAACATCTGGCTGACTGTGCAATGATCCATAATAATAATAATGTTGGAAGGGACCTTGGAGGTCATCTAGTCCAACCCCCTGCTGAGGCAGGAAACCCTATACCATTTCAGACAAATGGCTGTCCAGTCTCTTCTTAAAAACTTCCAGTGTTGGAGCATTCACCGCTTCTGGAGGCAGGCTATTCCACTGGTTAATTGTTCTAACTGTCAGGAAGTTTCTCCTTAGTTCTAAGTTGCTTCTCTCCTTGGTGAGTTTCCATCCATTGCTTCTTGTCCTGCCTTCAGGGGCTTTGGAGAATCGCTTGACTCCCTCTTCTTTGGGGCAGCCCCTGAGATAGCGGAAGACTGCTGTCATGCCCTTAGCCTTATATACCGCTTCACAGTGCTTTACGGCCAAGCGGTTTACAGAGTCAGCCTCTTGCCCTCAACAATCTGGGTCCTTGTTTTACTGACCTCGGAAGACTATTAGACACGTCTGTCCCCTTGAATGGTTTATAAAAATAGGAAAGACAGGGTAAAATAAATAAAACGAAATACATACAAATAATGGCTGCAGACAAGGTGAAGGCAGAAATGGCTCTCGGATGTGGGAATGGTTTGGGAATGCCGATGCGGCAACATGGAAGATCCGTTAAGTAGAGGCCCTGCTGCAGGAATTTGCCACAACTTGTGGCAGTTAATCCCACGCCTCGAACACGTGCCGAGTGCAATATTACTCTTTAATTTAGGATTGTCTTTTAGTTGAGTCAAACTATTTAATGAGCCAAGAATGCTTGCAGGAAAATAAGTGCGCTTCTCTCTCTCTCTCTCTCTCTCTTTTTTTTTTTTTCCTAATCTGGTGAAGAATTTTATTGCCTCCTTCCATTCCGTCCTTCTTACTGGTCTACGAAGTCTCACCGAAACCCTTTCATCTCAAAGACGAGGTGAAAAATTCATATATATGTAAATAAGCCAGGGGTGAAGAAGATGAGGCCTTGGCCAGACCTAAAGATGAGATGAAGGTTTAATTGATTAAGGAATGGACTCCCTTTATCAGATTAAGCTGGGTTAATTTGAATCCTGACTGTCATTGTGGGGCCGGGCATTGTGCGGGCGTACAATTTTCACATCGAGTGCAAACCCAACAGACACATTATTACACCCCAATGGAACCAGCTTAGAATTCACCCTGAACAAGGCCAGAAAAACAAACGACTTTAGTTAACTTTAGTTAAGTGTGTTGTGCACACCCATCTGGTGTTAAGCTCCACAGCAGAGATCCCCAAAAGCTAATACAATTCTTGGTGGTATAGCCAGAGGCACAGAAACAAAATCATGTACTGCTTTATAAAGCCTTTGTAAGGCCACCCCTGGAATGTCGCATCCAGTTTTGCTCAACACATTACAAAAAAGATGTTGAGTCTTTGGAAAAAGTGCAGAGAAGAGCAACTAGGATGATTAAAGGCCTGGAAACTAAAACATAGGAAGAACGGCTGCAGGATTTGGGTTTGGCCAATCTAGAGAAAAGAAGGACTAGGGGTGACATGATAGCATTCTTCCAGTATTTGAGGGGCTCCCCCAAAAAAGAGGGGTTCATATTATTCTCCAAAGCCCCAGAGGGCAGGAGAAGAAACGATGGATGGAAACACCTAGGAGAGAAGCAACCTGGAATTAAGGAGAAACTTCCTAACAGTGAGGACAATTAACTAGTGGAGCAGCCTGCCTCCAGAAGATGTGAATGCTCCATCCCTGGAAGTTTTAAAGAAGAGACTGGATGACCACCTGTCTGGAATGGTATAGGGTCTCCTGCTTGAGCAGGGAGCTGGACTAGAAGACCTCCAAAGTCCCTTCCAGCTCCAGTCTGATTCTGAGTCTGTTGGAAGAACTTGCAAGATGGAATACAACCCGAGTCCTGCCTGTTCAGCTGATTTTTTTTTAAAAAAAGAAAAGCAAAACGTGCAAGAGAAAAAGTACACATTTATTTCACACCTGAGGGCTAGGAGATTATCATCCCCAAGCAAAGCTAAGTAGGGATGTTTCCAGAGGCTTCGTTTCAGCACAGATCCTGTTTTGCTTCCAAGAATTGCAGATAAAAGTTCTTCTGTTCTCGGGTTGCAAAGAAAACTTTTTAAGCTGAGGAAGGATCTCTGGGTTTTGGTGGGGTGAAGATGCAGGTGGAGACAAGGTGGTGGAAAGTCCCATGAAGCGACAAGCCAGGACTCGCTTCCAACTGAGTTCTTGGCGACGCTGTGGAGAAAAACAAAGAAAAGAAGCGGTAAGCTAGAACGGATGAGAAGCTCCCAGCGACTTTATTTGGGGGAAAATACAAGTAGTTCTGTACAACAACGGAGCCCACACATCACAACAATGATGCAGGGAAGACTATGGAACACCTGGAGTCAGCCCTACGTGGTGTGAAACATGAGCACGCCCTATGTGTGATCCAGCAACTCGGTCTCAATACGAGGTGGGTTGGCACCTTCACAGATCTCCTTGGACTGAAGCCATCCAGTGTTGCCCTGCCTTTCTCTCACTCAACACACCAGACAGACACAAATCCGACTGATGGCGCGTCCTGTTAAGTCTTGACTTGTTTTACGATGTTTTCATGCATCAACCACAAGTAGCCAGGAGTCTGCAAGCGCTTGGTCATAAAGGAGTTGGTTTGCTTGTCTTTGTGCAGCGAGTGACTCACATTGCACACCCCGAAAGCACCTCCTTCTTTACTACAGGCAAGATCAACGCAGTCGGACACACAGATACAACGTCCCCCAACTCAGGACTTCTGGACTGGGGTCTCTCTCATAACAGATTGATCACAGTTGGTGATCTCAACTACCAGCTACTCAGTGGTCTAAGTCCCCAGACATAACTAATTTTGGCCCTTGATTTTGACCATACTAAAGACTTCTTCTCACCACACACACCCATACACACCCAAAAATTAATTTAATACTACGTTGAAGAGAGAAATCAGAAGATTATGCAAGCGATGAGGCCGAAAGCAATCAAGAAGGGAAGCTGTGAGCACGTGGTCAAAGTCCCACCTATTTACACCTAGACCATCATTTTGATTTTTTTTAAATACTTCCCACTCCTCCCTTCCCGGTTGGGAGACATTCCAGAATTACATAAATTAATTGCAGATCGTCCTTACGACTGGTACGACCACCGTGGAGCCCCAAATTTACGTCGCTAAGCGAGACATTGGACAAGCGAGTTTTGTTCCATTTTACAACTTTTCCTTACTCCTATTGTAAAGTGCACCTCGACGCAGTTTTTCAATTCGTAACATGGTTGTTAAGTGAATCCAGCTTCCCCCCGGATTGTCGGAAGGTCGCAAAAGAGGATCACGTGACCCGGGACACTGTGACCGTCATCAATGTGAACCAGTTGCCGAGCATCTGAATTTTAATCCCGTGAGCACAGGGATACTGGAACGGTCATAAGTGTGGAAAACGGTCATAATTCCCTTTTTTCAGTGCCGTCGTAACTTTGAACGGTCACTAAATGAACTGTTGTAAGTCAAGGACTACCTGTGCATAAAATGACATCAAATAAAATTCAGCTCCCAAAGTTACATAAAAACAAAAGTGTTGCTTCTTGTTCCTGAGGTTACAACTGTGCCAACCGTATGGAAAACTCTCAAAACATTCTCCCCAAATCCGGAAAAATAAAATATAATAATCCCAGCCCTATCTCTGCGGAGAACCCTTCCTAATCAATTCAGCTCTTAAGCCACCATGGAGCCTCCATAAAAGCTTAGATGTGGCTTAGACGGGGCTTCTTTGTATCCACAACTGATCAAAATCTATTCTATTGTAAGTCCAAGGAAGAATGCCAGACATGAGTGCAGATTTGGTTTCCTTTTATTGAAGTGCTTCAGCAAAAGGGGTCCCGGCCAGCAAAATGCCAGGACCCAGAACGAAGAATTAAGACAGCCTTATGCCAGAGGCCCACAACCTGCGGTCCGCAGCCCACTACCGGGCTGTGGCTTGCTGACCGCTTGGCTGCGGGACAGGCTGACCAGTGCACACATGTGTGTGCACACTCACCCCCATTCATGCTAGTGCCACGAAAACAGGGCGCCGCACCTATGCAAGCGGAGCTCCGCGCGGTGCTAAAACCGGGTACAGTGCAAAAACAGGGAGCGGTGCAGTGAAATTGAGCTGCTGCTAGCGCCCGTGCAGCAAAAACAAGGCGGTGCTAGCGAGTGTGACCTTTCAAAGTTACAACAGCACTGAGAAAAGTGACTTAGGACCACTTTTCACAGTTACGACCTTTGCAGCATCCCCCGGGGTCACGTGATCAACATTCAGACCAGCTTAGCAACCGGTTCACCTTTATGACGGTCGCAGTGTCCCGGGCTCATGTGATCCTCTTTTGTGACCTTTTGACCAGCAACGGGAAAGCCGGATTCACTTAACAACTGGCTTACTAACTGCAGTGATCCACTTAACAACTGTGGCAAGAAAAGTTGTAAAAGGGAGCAAAACTCCACCTAATAAAAATATCTCACTAAACAACAGAAATTTTGGGCTCAATTGTGGTCGTAAGCTGAGGACTACTTGTATGTCTGGAATGCAGAAGAATAGTATAGAATAGAATAGAATAGAATAGGAATAATGAAGAATAGAGTAGAATAAGAGAATAGAATAAGAGAATAGAATAGAATAGAATAGAATAGAATAGAATAGAATAGAATAGAATAGAATAGAATAGAATAGAATAGAATAGAATAGAACAGAACAGAATGGAATGGAATGGACTAAACTAGACTGGACTAAACTAGACTAGACTAGACTAGACTGGACTGGACTGGACTGGACTGGACTGGACTAGACTAGACTAGACTGGACTGGACTGCACTGGACTGAACTGGACTGAACTGGACTGAACTGGACTAGACTAGACTGCACTGGACTGGACTGCACTCAACTGGACTGGACTAGATTGGACTGGACTAGACTAGACTAGACAGAACAGAACAGAACAGAATCTGGAAGGGATCATGGAGGCGTTCTAGTCCAGCAGGAGAAATAGAAAAAAGAGAAAAAAGAGGGAAAAAGAACGGAGAAAGAAAGAAGCAAAGAAACCAGAAGGCTTAGCCCAAACCACAATGCATCCTACAAACGTTGCCATTGGTTCTCCCCTGTTTTCCTCACCGTACCAAGAGAAGATCTGGTGTCTCCTTCACGATGCCTCCTTCTTTGCCAACATCTTCACAAACTCGTCAAAGGTGACCTTCCCGTCTTCATCCAGGTCGACGTCCTTCAGCATATCCTCCACCTTCTCGTCAGTGAAGTTCTCCTGAAGGTGGAGGAGAACATACTCCAGGGATCGCAGGACGTTCCCCAACTCCTCCTTGGAGATGACTCCGTTGCCGTCCTCATCAAAGTGGGAGAAGGCCTCCTTGAAGATGCCAATCTGTGCTTCGCTGAACTCATGGAACATGGTGCCGATCACTTTGCGCCCAACGCTGTGTGCCTCTCCTCAAGAAAATGCACACTCTGGGTTTCCTCTGGCGAGACAGGAAAATCTGGTGTGAGTTATGAGGAGACAAGGGACCCACAAGTCCAGCAGTCTCCACCCTGCTTGTGGTTTCAGGCCTAGACTTGGGACTTAGGAACCTGCTGGAATGCTACCTTGCCACAAGGAAAGATGGATTGTGGTTGGGTTGGTTGAGGTAGGAGGTATCCCACAATCCATTGCAACCTCAAGCATGGGTGGAAGGTAGGGATGGCTTACTTTTCATTGCATAACAAGCCTGGATTTGTGGCACCAGAAGAAGGCTATTGTAGTCTTCAGGAAGCCAACGCTGTAAGAATAGAATAGAATAGAATAGAATAGAATAGAATAGAATAGAATAGAATAGAATAGAATAGAATAGAATAGAATATATGGAATAGAATAGAATAGAATAGAATAGAATAGAATAGAATAGAATAGAATAGAATAGAATAGACCTCCAACTAGATGACCTCCAAGGTCCCTTCCAACTTTACTACTATTACTATTACTAGAATAGAAATATGGAATAGAATAGAAATATAGATAGAAATATAAAATAGAATAGAATAGAATAGAATAGAATAGAATAGAATAGAATAGAATAGAATAGAATAGAATAGAATAGAATAGAATAGAGCTGGAAGGGACCTTGGAGGTCTTCTAGTCCAGCCCTCCGCTCAAGCAGGAGAACCTACACCATCTCAGACAGGTGATTGTCTAGTATAATAATAATAATAATAATAATAATAATTATGATGATGTTGGAAGGGACCTGGGAGGTCATCTAGTCCAACCCCCTGCTCAGGCAGGAAACCTTATATCTTCTTAAAGATCTGCAGTGATGGGGCGCCAACGATCTAATGACCTTCAAATAGCTCCTTCTTTTACATATATTTCATAATTTTGATTAAAAAATTGCAATTACAAAAATGAAATCTATGACAGGTAGTCCTCAGTCCGCAACTGAGCCCCAACGTTTATGTCGCTAAGCGAGACATTTGTTAACTGAGTTTTGCCCCATTTGTACAACCTTTCTCGACACAGTGGCTAAGTGAATCACTAGAGCGGTTCAGTTACTCGCACGGTTGTTAAGTGAATCGGGCTCCCTCCCATTGGCTTTATTTATCAGAAGGTCATAAAAGAGGATCACGGGACCCCCCCCCGGGGACACCGCAACTGTCACGAATACATGCCAGTGGCCCAGCATCCAGATTTTGATCACGTGACCGTGGAGATTCTGCAACGGTCGCTAAGTGTGAAAAACGGTCCTAGGTCCCTTTTTTTCAGAGCTTTCATAACTTCCAACAGTCACTAAATAGACTGTTGTAAGTCGAGAACTACCTGTACGCACCAGAAAGAAAAACAATGCAAAAAAGAAAAGCAGAAAAGAGAAAAGAATATATTTTATTTATTTACCAAATTGAGAAAGACTACCCAGAAAGAAAAGAGAGAAACATAACAAACGGACTTCTCCCTTCATCGCAAGTATAAACAATTTCGACAACTTCTCTTAAAATACAACAAATGATTTATTCTTCTTCTATATCCCATCTCCTTTTTGCAAAGTCAATCTTTACAGCCTGGTCATTTCAATCCCTCTGCCAGCAAAAATCCATTAAGGCAGGGGTCCCCAATCCCCGTGTCTGTGGACCGGTACTGGGCCGTGGCACGCCAGCAAAAGGTCCACACAAACAAGCAAAGCCCCATCCGCGGGATGCAGGCAGCACAGAAACCCACAACATTCCAGTTCGTGGAAAAATTGTTCTCCACGGAACCAGTCCCTGGTACCCAAGAGGTTGTGGACCTCTGCATTAAAGCTCAGCACGCGATAAAAACCTATCTATTTTAACCTGGGTCAAATAAACCCACTCTATATTCCTTTCTGCACTTCTAACCATTTGGATTTCAGATACCTTCCAGCAATACCCCTTCTCTTCAGTTCTTTGGTTGAGGGTAAGTAAGCTCCTCGCGGGAAGGTCATCCCTTGTAATGACTTACTCCTGGGAGTTTGTAATTAATATCCCACTGAAGCGGAACAACAATATGGAAATTGAGATTCCAAATTGAGCTGTGGGCATAAATTGTGCTGAGGCGCTGAGAATTATTCCCGACGGATGAGTGATTAAGGGAATGGGGAAAGAAGATGTTTGAAAAGATAATGGCTCTCTTTTGGGAGTCTTTAGGCAGAAACTGGATTGACCCCTGTCAGGGATGGCATAGGAGTTAATTGCCCTCATTAAGCAGTGATGCTGCCTGAGGAATTCTGGGAGTTGAAGGCCACACGCCTTAAAAGTTGCCAAGGCTGAGAAGCACTGGAGTTCAATCTTGAAGTGTGGATAGGTTTGTGGAACTGGAATAGAGGTATATTATGACTACGCCTCATTTTACGACGTGGAATTGAGGCTGGAATGGCAGCCATAAGTCGTAGCACTCTTTAAGTGGATCACCAGGCGACTATGCCCATTTTATGATCCTTTTTGCAAGGGTGGTTAAGCAAATCCATTTTACTTAAATGGGTATATTTTTTGCTGGAAACATGAAAAATTGTGTGATCACCGCAAAGGGATGTGAGCTGGTTGCCAAGGTCCCAAAATGTGATTGTGTGATCACACGGGGGTGGGGGGGGATTGTAAGAAGCTCTGGTGAAGTCCGTCATAACTTTGAATGGTCACTAAATGAGCCGTCATTTAGCAAGGACCATCTGTAAACAGGATTGTAAGAAGCTCTGGTGAAGTCCGTCATAACTTTGAATGGTCGTTAAATGACCCATCATTAAGCAAGGACCATCTGTAATTGTCGCGCCGCCTAATACTTGAATGGAGCTTCCATGTCCAAAAGCAGTTTACCTCTCTGTTTCTGAAGCTAAGAGTAAGCAACATCTGGATCCATCATCATGGGAGTTCTTTTTAGAGGCAATTGACTAGTCCAGGGGTAGGCAACCTTGGCTCTTTTATGACTCGTGGACTTCAACTCCCAGAATTCCTGAGCCAGCCATGCTGAGGGGAAAGGGAGAGGTTTCCAAGCTGAGCCAGGCTGGCCCAGGAATTCTGGGAGTTGAAGTCCACCAGTCATAAAAGAGCCAAGGTTGCCTACCCCTGGTCTAGGAGGCTCATCGCTTAGAACAGGAGGACTTAGGACAGGGGTAGGCAACCTGGGCTCTTTTATGACTTGTGGACTTCAACTCCCAGAATTCCTGAGCCAGCCATGCTGAGGGGAAAGGGAGAGGTTTCCAAGCTGACCCATGCCGGCTCAGGAATTCTGGGAGTTGAAGTCCACAAGTCATGAGGGGGCCATAGTTCCCTCATGCTGGCTGAGGAATTCTGGGAGTTGAAGTCCACGAGTCATAAAAGAGCCAAGGTTGCCTATCTCTGGCCTAGGCCTAGGCCTCTTTGTGACTGGTGGACTTCAACTCCCAGAATTCCTGAGCCAGCATGAGGGAACTATGGCCCCCTCATGATTCGTGGACTTCAACTCCCAGAATCCCTGAGCCAGCATGGCTCAGCTTAGAAACCTCTCTCTTTCCCCTCAGCATGGCTGGCTCAGGAATTCTGGGAGTTGAAGTCCGCAAGTCATGAGGGGGCCATAGTTCCCCCGTGCTGGCTCAGGAATTCTGGGAATTGAAGTCCACGAGTCATAAAAGAGCCAAGGTTGCCTGCCCCTGGCACTAGTCACTAGAAAAATGCCAAATTCTGGACTGGATTGATCCTCACAGTTATATCTGTACTGCAGGTGTTAACTGGGATGTTGGGTTTAGTAACTGACCAGGATTCTGACCGAATGACGGGTTGTCCTCCTGTAACCTCTCCAATCTGCAGCCTTTGATTTTCCAACTGTCTTATTTTGACAGCCTTGAATTCTTTCCTTTTCAACAGCTGTCCTGATGTTATGGCTAAGCCACTTAAAGAAATGAACAATGATAAACTACGATCTCTGGTCCCGTAAAGATTCTACCTCCACCTGTTTGCACCTTGCTCCCTCCCTAGCCGCCGTTCTTAATTCTATTTTTATTTTTTAGCATTAATATTTATGATCTTAATGCCTCAATGTTCTATCTCCTTGTGTTTACTCTGTTGTGTTTTGTCTAGAGGTGGCTCTAGATGAAATGGGTGGCATATAAAATGAATGAATGAATAAATGAATAAATGAATGAATGAAAAGGTTGCAACAAAGATGGAGGCAGAAGTAAAAGAAGATGATTGTGTTTCGTTGAATATCCTCATTTCTCTTCCTCCAGGCATACTGGGAAGGAAAACGACCAGCAAGTAATAGCATATAAGTGAATAAATAAACGGATAGAACAGAATATTTCAGCACTGATGATGTTACTTAGTTGGGTAATGAAATGTCTGCAAGAAAACCACCAAGCTCAGAGAGCACTAAGGACCCCACAGTTCTCCTCCTCCTCCTCCCCCACATCCTCTACCACCACCACCACCTCCTCCTCCTCCTCCTCCTCCTCCTTCTTAACCACTGATGATGTTACATAGTTGGGTCATGAAACGTCTGCAAGAAAACCACCAAGCTCAGAGAGCACCAAGGACCCCACACAACAAATAAACGGAAGACGGAAAAATACTTGTGAAGCCTTATGTTTAATATTGGACATTTTCATTTGCAACACCTTCCTCACACACACACACACACACCTGCCAAAATCAACAATCATGTATCCATCAGATGATTTGAGAACACAACTTCGAAGTCATGCTGGCTGGGAATATGGAGATTGTTGGTTGCAAACTCTCTTGAAGGCATCAACAAAAGTCAGGTAGCCCGGATCCAGCTTTTAATTTAATCACACGAACATGACCATTTCCTGCATTTAAATGAAATGCGAAATCATGAGGTTACATCCCCCATTATTCTGACCTGGGAGAGTTATTTCTCACAGTCCGTAAAAAAAACCAACAACACAATGGAACAGAAAGAGACTTTTCTGCACACAAGAAAGGGATCTGGGCGGTCCAATATTTAGCAAATAATAGCATATGATGGTATAAGTTCTCCTGCTTGAGCAGGGGGTTGGATTAGATGACCTCTGAGGTCCCTGTGTTCTGTGTTCCAAGTCTAAGTATCGTTTCTCTGTCTAGGCAATGCTTTTGAATGTTGAAGGGGTGTGAAAGTTCAGCTCTCAGATCTAGCCAGCATGCTGTTGGGGTTGAGGTCCACACGTCTTAAAGTTGCCCGGATTCAGAAAAACCGAGCTAGGATTTGTTCCTGAAACACAGCAGTTGCTGGAATTCCTTCATTATATTGGAGGGAAAAAATCCTAATTTTTCTTCAATATGTATTATTGTTCTTTCTACCTTGTGAGCTTGACTAAATGCTTATAGTCCTGCCTCCTGTGTGAATTTTGAGATTACCCTACCCTTTCTCCACTCTGGCAAAACATTTTGAATATGAATCACACGGAGTTTGATAGATATTGGAAGTTTCTAACTTTAATGGAAGAATCCTGGCATTGTCCTGACTACGGAAGGGTTCCATGACCTGCTTCAAATTTGAAATGCTTCCGGTTCAAACCCTCTTTTGGAAAACAGTTTGCATTTATTTATTCAGCATATTTATATAGCCACCCGTCTCACAAACATGTGACTCCGGTAGCCTACGACACCACCACAACCGTTAAAAACTCCCTAATGATTTATAAACAGAAATAAGTTAAAATAAAGAGGTAAAGTAAATCAGTCAACAAAGCCGGGAAAGCTGGAGAACAACCATCACTTCACCTCATTATGATCACTTTTCAGAGTTCTCCCTGGGATCTTCAATGCTGGTCAAACAAACCCATGGTTTAAGGTTAAAAGAGGGGGAACGAGGGTGGGATCTACAGCAGAAAAGACGTGTCACTGCTGGGTCCCACCATCTGTTTCATAACAGAACCCTAGAGCCAGGGGTAGGCAACCTTGGCTCTTTCATGACTCGTGGACTTCAACTCCCAGACTCCCCTGGCTGGCTCAGGAATTCTGGGAGTGGAAGTCCACCAGTCATAAAAGAGCCAAGGTTGCCTACCCTTGCCCTAGACTAATCACCAACCTGGGAAGACACTGTACCTTACGTTACTTCTCCACCATTATTCGTGCAAATTCTTCATAGTTGACCTTCCCGTCTCCCTTTTTGTCCATCTCCTTGATCAACACCTTCACCTCTTCGTCTGTCAGCTTCTCACCCACGATGGTCAAGACGTGTCGCAGCTCTGCCGTGTTGACGTAGCCGTCTCCATTCCTATCGAAGACGCGGAAAGCTGCTCTGATTTCCTCCTCCGTGTCAGAATTCCCCATTCTCCTGGCCATCATGGACAGGAGTCTTGGGAAATCTGCCTTTCCCTTGTGGGCCTCTATCTCACCGATGATACTTTGTACCTCAGCTTCCGTGGGATTTTTCCCGAGGGATCTCATGACGGTCACCACCTCCTTGGAGGTGATCAGCCCGTCGCCATCTTGATCGAAGAGGGCGAAGGCATCTCTGAGTTCCCTAATTTCTTGCTTCGAGAGCCGGTTGGCCATGTTGCTTCTCTGATCCCACACCCACCTCCGTCGTTCTTCTCAAACACAACAAACACAACTCACGCTCCTTGAAGAAACAGGAAAAGCTAGTGCAGGACGGGGACGTGGTGAAGGAACGAGAAAGATGAGTCCTTGCCCTCAAGGCCTGGATGTCGGTCGGTTGGTTTGAGGAAACATCATGTAGGGAAGTAGGTAGAGGGTGCGCCGTGCTAAATTTTTAATTTTTTTCAACTTCAGCTCTGTCGACCAGAAAAAATGTGATTGTCAATGCTGTTAACATCGGATGTTTTTGCATTGACAACAGATGGAAGTGTAGCTATCTTTTATCTTTTGCTTTAAGAATTAGATGATGCTGCAAGGGCGGATGTGAACGAGAGTCCAGCTAGACATAACAACACTAAACCTAGCATGAGAAACAAGGTTATTGTAACCAGAGCTGATAAAGAATTGGTGGGCTGGAGAGCTGGAGAGGAGGTCCACGCTTCAAGTTAATTGGGGAATGTGATTTATGACTGTAAATTGGAGGAGGGAATTGTGCTTTGATACTATGTGCTCAGGGGAGGGGAATCCAGTTTTTGGCTTCGATTATGCGGTGCCGATATTATGCTACTCAAAATAAAGATTATTTAAGGTAAACAATGCCTCAAAGTTCTTTGAAGAGTTTCATCTGTTGGAACCATGACAGCGAAGCTGTTGGATGTCCTCAACCTATGACCAGAATTTCTGCCGCTAAGCGAGACAGTTGTTAAGTGAGTTTTGCCCCATTTTATGACCTTTGTTGCCACAATTATGTAGTGAATCACTGCAGTTCCTTTGTTAGTAACATGGTTGTTAAATGAATCTGACTTCCCCCTTGACTTTGCTGGTCAGAAGTTACACAAGAAGATCACGTGAGCCCGGGACACTACAACAGTCATAAGTTCATGCCAGTTGCCAAGCGTCTGAATTTTGATCACATGACCGCCGGGATGCTGCAACAGTCCTGTGTGAAAGCAGTCATGAGTCCTTTTTCAGCGCCGTTCTAACTTGGAACAGTCACTAAATGAACTGTTGTTAAGCCAAGAGCTATCTGTAGCTTATTTGTTTAGTAACACAGTTAAGTGAACCTGGCTCCCCTCCCCATTGACGTTGCTCGTCAGAATGTCGCACAAGGGCATCACGTGACCCCGGGACACGGCAAACCGTCGTAACTATGAGTCTATCATCTGAATTTTGCTCACGTGATCACGCTGCAATCATGCTGGGTGAAAATTGGTCCTCAATCTCTCTTTTTTAGTGATGTTGTAGATTCGAACAATCGCTAAACAAATGGCTGTCAAGCAAGGACTCCCCTACTTTGGGTTTTACATTTCGTCAAGGGTTCTCCTAACACAGTGGTTCTCAACCTTTTTAATGCCGCGACCCCCAACCGGTCGTAAGTCGAGGACTACTCCACCGGTTGTAAGTCGAGGACTACTCAACGGGTGCAGCACCGTTTGCAGACTGGGACTTTTGGCGGGCTCAGCAGGGCAGAGACAGCCTGGACAATTCCTATTGGCTTTTGAAAGCCAATAGAATTAGACTCTATTCAAGAGAGTCTCTTCTATTGGCTTTCAAAAGCCAATAGAATAAAAGGGAGTAGCACAGCTAAGGAAAAGGGGGGAAAATGGCGGACAGCCTTGTTTGGCGACCCCCGTGAAATGGTCGTTCGACCCCAAATGGGGTCCCCACCCACAGGTGGAGAACCACTGTCCTAACAACATTATCTTCCCACGGAGTGGCGAACAGGTTAAAAATAGATCTAAAGAAATGGAGAGTCCTGGAGCAGAGGCAGAAGTTTGAAACTTCCCATGTGGACGCAAGATGGGAAACACAAAGGAGTCAGCGGGCATGCGGCGTGCTTGAAATTCTCCGAGCGTCGTTCTAATTGAAACCGATCGTGCTAATTTGGCCTAACGTGGATCTTCTCTTCTCCTGGGTTCACTTTCCTTGGCAGAAAACCGTGTGGCTTGCAAGTGAAGTTAACTTGAAAACCTCTCTCAGTCTGTGCACCCAGTGAGTGTCAAAACAAGTATAGTATAGGGTGGTACCTTGTTCAATAGTAGTAACTGTGAGTCCTAGTGGACAATCACTTAGATATGAGGCAGCCGTGTGCTGCAGCTGCCAAAAAAGCCAACACACTGCTAGGCTGCATCAGCAGAAGGATAGAATCAAGATCAGGTGAAGTGTTAATACCACTTTACAAGGCCTTGGTAAGGCCACACTTGGAATACGGCACCCAGTTTTGGTCACCACGATGTAAAAAAGACGTTGAGACTCTAGAAAGAGTGCAGAGAAGAGCAACAAAGATGATCAGGGGACTGAAGGCTAAAACATATAAGGAACGGCTGCTGGAATTGGGTATGTCTAGTTTAATGAAGAGAAGGACGAGGGGGGACATGATAGTTGTGTTCTAATATCTCAGGGGCTGCCACAAAAAAGAGGGAGTGAAGCTCTTCTCCAAAGCCCATGAAGGCAGGAGAAGAAGCAATGGATGGAAACTAACCAAGGAGAGAAGCAACCAGGAACTTTCCTGACAGAACAATTAACCAGTGGAACCACCTGCCTCCAGAAGTGGTGAATGCTCCAACACTGGAAGTTTTTAAGAAGAGACTGGACAGCCATTTGTTTGAAATGGTGTAGAGTTTCCTGCCTGAGCAGGGGGTTGGACTAGATGACCTCCAAGGTCTCTTCCAACTTTATTATTATTATTATTATTATTATTATTATTATTATTATTATTATTATTATTATTATTATTTATTTATTTATTTATTTATTTATTTATTTATTAGATCCGTGTGACTAACTGAATAGCTGTGATGATTCAGTTAAGAACTGTAGCAAGAAAGGTAAAATGGGGCAAAAACTCGCTTAATCGCTGCCTCAGCCACAGAAATGTCGGGCTCAATTGCAGTCATAAGCCGAGGACTTTCTGTACTTCAGCCCATGCTTCTTTTTGGGATAATTTTCCACCCAATGGGCAAATTCTCTGAGTCCCCCCCTCCCAAACCTCAAAAAAAAACAACTCCATAATTGTTTGACATAATAAAAACAGGGAAAGCATGTTGTCGGTGGAAATAACATTTCGTGTTTGGAAATTCCTGATCCCGTTTTAATGAGCACCATGCTCCCTTCAGTATCTTTTCCGAAACGTGAGCATGCCAGCCATTTAAAAAAAAAAAAAAAAGAGAGAGAGAGAGAGAGAGAGAGAGAGAGAGAGAGAGAGAGAGAGAGAGAGAGAGAGAGAGAGAGAGAGAGAAAATGGGTTTTATTTTCCAAAGTGGAAAGATTCAGACAGCCCCCTCACTCAATTTAATTCCATCCAGATGTATTAAATCACATCCTGGAATCTCTCGCCAGCCGAGGGAGAAAAACATGACATTTTTTTTTTCCAAAAAATTTCCCCTGCCCAAAGGAATTGTTGTGGTGGGCCCCTTAGGAAGGAAAGGTCTGGTGTGGCAGAAAAAAGAGGGTAAAATCACATCCACCCAACTGGTGGCGGGGAGCCAAGTGACCCCAAACCCACCGTAAACTTCTTTCCTTTGTTGATCCGAGGCAGATTTAAATTGGGGACTTTGAGTGAACAAAGCATCAAAAGTTCCGATTTACACATTTCCAATGTTTATTTAAAAGAAGAAGAAGAAGTAGGTGGTTCTTGAAATGGAATTCTTCTATTGCAGATACTTTAGCTCTCAAGTATGACTAGAATAGAATAGAATAGAATAGAATAGAATAGAATAGAATAGAATAGAATAGAATAAAGTGGAGTGGAGTGGAGTGGGATGGGATGAGATGGGATAGAATGCAGAATAGAATAGAGTGGAATGGAATAGAATAGAATAGAATAGAATAGAATAGAATAGAATAGAATAGAATAGAATAGAATAGGATGGGATGGGATGGGGTGGGGTGGGGTGGGGTGGGGTGGGATGGGATGGAATAGGAGGATAGGATAGGATAGGATAGGATAGGATAGGATAGGATAGAACGCAGAATAGAATAGAATGGAATGGAATGGAATGGAATAGAATAGAATAGAATAGAATAGAATAGAATAGAATAGAATAGAATAGAATGGAATGGAATGGAATGGAATGGAATGGGATGGGATGGGATGGGATGGGATGGGATGGGATGGGATGGGATAGAATGCAGAATAGAATAGAATAGAATAGAATAGAATAGAATAGAATAGAATAGAATCTGGAAGGGACCTTGAAGGTCTTCTAGTCCAGCCCCCCGCTCATGCAGGAGAACCTATACCATCTCAGACAGGTGATTGTCCAATCTCTTCTTAAAAACATCCAGTGATGGAGCACCCACAACTTCTGGTGGCAAGCTGTTCCACTGGTTAATTGTTCTGACTGTCAGGAAATCCTTCCTTAGTTTCAGGTTGCTTCTCTCCTTGATTGGTTTCCATCCGTTGCTTCTTGTCCTGCCTTCAGGGGCTTTGGAGAAGAGCTTGACTCCTTCTTTGGGGCAGCCCCTAATTTTTAGCACCTTTGTTGTTCAGTTACTAAGCTGTGTCCGGTTCTTCATGACTCCATGGGGCACAGCACACCCAGACCCCCTTGTCCTCCATTGTTTCCCAGAGTTTGCCCAAATTCACGTTAGTTGCGTCAATGACCCTAATCTAACCACCTCATCCTCTGCTGATGGTGTTATCTAGTTGGATAATGAAACGTCTGCAAGAAAACAAGCAAACTCAGAGAGCACTGAGGACCCCACAGTCGTCCTCCTCCTCCTCCTCCTCCTCCTCCTCCTCCTCCTCCTCCTCCTCGTCCCCCAACTCCAAATCAACCATAGTTTGTTTGACATTGTTAAGAGAAATTCCTGAGCTGCTCAGGCAGAGAGATCATGGCTGCAAAGAAGAAGAAAAAAATCTAGAATCACCCACAAATGTCATCTGATAAGGTCGAATTCTCGGCACCACCAGCCCTCATGGCAGAAAAAAATGCCTTTTCTGGCCCAGCTTTGCA